CCCGTTCTGACGTAAACAAAGGCGTGTTGAGTGTTGCCTCTAGGGTTTGGGTTTATTTTTTTTATTTTATTTTATTTCATTATTATTTTTTTTTTTTTATTTTTTTAAAAAAATAATTTAAACTCTCCAAAACTTAAATTTTTTAGGGGGGCCCCCCTTTGCCCTTACACCATGTGCGCGTCTTGGAGACCCCCCTGAACCCCTTGGACCGCGGGCCCCCCAAATGCCGGGCCCTGGGAAAATTTTCCCAGTTTTGCTTATGCGGAAAATCCAGCCCTGTTTACACTAACCAATTTCCCTTTGAATAAAACCCTTCACCGGGCATCAAGGCCTCCTTCACTGGCACAAGGAACCTTCCTCCCAGGAGTAAATAAAACTACCTCACCGCATAAAGGGAACCCGGGGTGAAAAGTTTGTTTCATGGCGTGAAAAAGATTCGTTGGGATTTTTAACCCCCTGAGGGTTAGCCCCCGGGAAACCCAAGAAAGTCTGTGTCATGAGGACTGTCAAATTTATTTCCATTGGGTTTAAATCTTGTCCCCCAGGATGCGACCCACACCAGGCTAAACCCAGGACCTATTTCTGCTAGGTGAACAGGACAACGGGTGTAAGGAAACGCGCAAAAATTTTTCCACCCCCCGGGGGAATCGCCCCCGGGGCCCCCCGTTGTGAAGCGAAAGCTTTACCCAAAAACTTTTTCCCTTTTTTTCCCACGGGCACGTCTTTTAAAGTTTTTAGCGCTCATAAACTAATTGTAAAAAAAAAAAAAGGTAGTATAATGTAAGTTTGGGGTTAAGGGGGTTTTAAAACCATTACACACAAGGGTATTAAAGCTCTTTTCCCCTATTCACCACCATTTTTGATACCTAACGGGGTGAACCAATGATTTTTGTCGGCATTTTGAATAAAACAACCCCAAAACATCTTAGGGGGTTTATTTTGGTTTTGTTGAATGATCCATTACAAAGGGTTTACCTTTGCCCCAAAAACCACTGATTGTATTTTGAAACCGTGCATTCAAAATGCCCCTCATCTAAAAAATAAACTTTTTCCCAGTCATTGCCATCCTCCTTTATGTTGACCCCCAAATACACCTTTTTTTTTTTTTCTTCACAGCGGAGCAAAAATTGTTTTACGTTTTGGGAGGTTTTCCAAATCAAGGAGCCTTCATCAAACAGTTAAAGAATCAAAAATTTACACCGGAAGTCAATCTCTGTAGTTTTGCTGGTTTTCTTTGGGATCCTCACACTATTTTATGATAACCCTTTTTCATCGTGTGTTGTGTCTTGCTTTCTTTCCCCATCTTTGCGCGCATTCCCCCAACACTGTTTGTCATTCTCTTCAAATCCAACCAACATTGACTTTTTTAAGCCAAATTTTTTACGATCTGTCTAATACTCAAAACACTGTTTTAATTGTATGTTCCCATGTAACATCCATCATGAAATTTTAGCATAATCATGAATTGAAGGGGAAAAATTTGGCAAAACCACATTTTCTCATGGAGCATGCTTGCAGGAATAGCCTTACAAAAAACACTATTTAGCACTGAAAACATCGAGGGGGAAAACCACAAGTCAGTAGCAAACTCTTTTGAAAAGAAAAGACCCCCCAAATACATTAAGCCAGAACAAACAGTGTGAGAAAATTACAAAATTTATCCTGCCCAATTATTTTGGGACACTAATATGCCGAAAGGGGGGGGTTAAAATATGGTAAAATAACTTCATAGTTAAAATTGTTGGCTACACCCGTCTTCTCGTTCCCCATCGACCAAAAATTAACGCTTTTTCATTATTTTTACTAGCACCTCGACTCTTTCCCCTAGTTCCCACTTATATCCCCTTTTTTGCCACACAAATACCATTGCAACAATAAAATCTTTTGTTTTTGAAACAATGTTGTACGTGTTTTTTTATAAAAATTTGTCCAAATTACTCCCCCCCCACTCTTTTTTTTTCTCACCTAATTATTTTTTTATTGCCCCGCTAATCATGAAGAAACTTCCAAAAAAATTCTTTTCCCTGTTTATGGGGTAAACATCCCCAGAGATGGAATTCCCCCGTAATAGTCCCATTTCTAGAAGGAAACCTCTTTAAGCTTTTGTAGCTGCTGAACCTTCAATGGGAAAACGGATAATCCCAAAGTAGCACCCTAACATCTACAAACGGGAAAAGCTTTATAAAGAATTTGAAATCAGATTCCATTTTTCTTTTCAGCGCACCCAACCCAAACACTCCAGAATACTTCTTTTATTAAATTTGTCTTTAAAATATTTAAACCGGGGGACTTCCTTTTTTTTTAAATACCACGGGTTGTGAAAATTACTTTTTTGGGGCCTGTACTGCAGCTAAGGTCCTAATTTTTGCCCCCTATTTTGAGTTATCTTTGTTCTTTCCTCTTCCCGGGGTTTTGTCCTTTTTCCCGCAGCCTTACCTTTTAATCCTCCTGCAAGGGAATTATCCTCTGGGGGTGGATATCCGTTTGGGTTGAATGCGTTGGTACTGACGCCCGTTTGTCAACAGGACAGTGAAGGTCCCCCGGGGACACAGAGCGGGACAATGGTTCACTTAAAGCAGAACTTCTAAGGATCGCCCGGGCCCGGGAACCCCGTGGGGAGGTCGACAGTGTTGTACTGGCGGTGGAAGGCGTTTTTCATGAAGGTACACGCAGGTCGTCCTATGTAAATACTTAAGACGTTAGTTGATGACCTATACAGGTTAACTGAGACCTAAACAGGTTATATTTTAGATTCAACAGGTTAGTTCATGACCCCTAACATATTGATAAACAAAAACTGCATACTGAAAACGTCAGGGGTTTACTTTACAGTACAGGGGGGTAAACAGTCTATTAATGAAATGTTTTAACCCCTAGGGACATCGCCTGGAAAAAATTTAGTATCTAACCAGCTTAATAAAGGATGGGAAGATATTCTAATTCCAAATCAAGAGCCTTTCACAACCAAAGCACTCCCCCTGAAGGGAAAGCAACTTTAAAAAATTTTCTCCAAACCTAATTAAGAATTTAGTAAGAAATTCCACAAATTTTTGTTACTCCCCTTTCACCGAAAGGCCCAGTTAAAAACGCTAAACCCAAGCAGGGTGGGGAGGCTCTTTCCCTTCCCTCCACTAAACTCGGGGACAGACACAAATTTTATCCCTGGGGTTCCCTCCCCTCCTCTACCGCATTTTCATTTTATGAGAGGGGGGGGGGCGCAAACACATAAGGGGGCCAATACAAAATTTTGGGGGGTAGAAGGTGGTCACATTCGATCGAATTCTTTGGTCAAAAACCCTTTCCCCCTCAAGGCCCTTTTCCCCAATTTTCAAAGGGATCAGATGTTCAAACTTTAACATTTGTCCTTTTTGTATCCCCATAACTATAGCGGGGAAAAAGAGTGTTTTTTTCCCCATATGAGTACAAAAAATGTGTAAAGAGTAAATGATAAAACTTACCAGGTCTTAGAGCGTTAAATACCTTTTCCCAGCAAGATAAATGTCAATATCAGCGGAGAAAATATTGAATCTTACTATATATAAATAATATATAATTATAATTATATATAAATTTTTTATAATTATTATAAAAATATATATTAAAAGAAAAAAAAAAAAAAACAAAAAAAAAAAAAAAAACAAACAAAAAAAAAAAAAAAAAACAAGACAAACAAAAAAAAAAAGAAAAAACAACAAAAAAAAAAATGGGGAAGGGGGAGGGGGGGGAAAAGGGGGCGGGGGGGGGGAGGGGGGGGGGGGGGGAGAGCGTCGGCCGGCCGGGGGGCGAGAGGAAGGGAAGAAGGGGACAAGAAGAGACAGAGAGAGAGAAAAGGGGAAAAAGAGAGAGAGAGAGAGAGAGAAGAGAAAAAGACAGAGAGAAAGAGGGAGAAGAGAGGGGGAAGGGGGGGAGGTTGTTTTGTTTTTTAAAACAACCCAATTTCCTTTATGGAATACCCTTCCAAAAATGGGCAAAATCAGGACCCCTGATGACCACCGACCCGCCTTCCCCCCGTTTTTCAAAGGGGAGGATCGATTTCCCCCCCAAGACCGAGTTAAAAACCGGGTTTTAAATGGATCCATCACAGCATTACTGTTTCCACTCCAACCTACTTAAACCCCAAGGGCCACCCAGCTTGCTTATTTAAAGTGACACATATTTTTTGTAGTAGTCACGTACAGCATTGTTAATCTAACGAACCAGTTTAGATCTAACGGACACGCATGTGTTAGATCTAACGACACGCATGGTAGATCTAACGTACACCCGTGTTAAAACTAAAGTAAAAACCATCCTTCAAGGAAAAAACTGTTGTTGTTTGAATAACAAAACCAAGACTGATTTTATGTCACTGTGATTCCCTTTGTGGTTTTTCAAGAGTCCTCACCTGCCTCAAGATCACACCCCCCGAAGGATGCCCAGGGAAAAATTTTAAACACACCAGGTTTAACTCAGAAGGTGCTCCAAACTTTAATACATTAAAAGGGGTCTTCCGAAAAGCAAAATCTAACCAAAAAAATATTTATTTTAACCAAAGGGGCCCCATATAAATTTTTTAATATGTTCAAAACTATCTGAATCCAGTGTTTTGTCGGATACTAAGAGACCCCATGATGGCGATCAAATTTAATCAAACTCCGCCCCCGGGGGAAAATTGGCCATCTGGCGGGGAGGGGGACGCTGGTGGAGGGGGCGGGGGAATCATCTGCTATCATTGGTTGATCAGGCAGCATCAACCCCCGCCCACTGTGATAACCCCGCCCGCCCCACCAATACTGGCCCACACGCCAACTACCATCGGCTACCAACCCACTCAAGAGTAAATCCCCACCTACCTGGAGCATGCTTACTTATGTTATCGAATTATCCTCTCTTTACCAAACCTAGAGAAAGTGTTTCACCTGTACACGACAACTGGATCGAGACAATCTATACACGTACAAGGTAATCCGCGCACTGTTACTTGCTGTGGTGACGTCTGGCAGCAGCTTGAGGACACGACTCCACCTCAGAAGTCACTCAGTTGTGTTCCGCGGTCCGTGTGATACAGTGCGAGTGTAAAGACTTGTATATATATACAACTTTCATACTGGTAGCCAAAATTCCGTCAAGATTCGGGTCAAAAACAGAGAACCCATTTCCGTGTACCAGATGGAGCACCCGGAGATGGAAGAGGACAGTCGCATGGTGAGTGCTGGTCTCGAAATCAGCGACACTGCGCTGCGGCCAGGCTGACAGCGCACCCGTGTTTGTTATGGTCCATGATACCCATAGTGCCCACGTGGGTGCGTAGGGGGTGGGTACACTCGGAGAGTTGTATAACGAAGGGTGTACTCAGAATTACGGTGGCGGAGACTGACACTTGCCTCCTAGGCCAGAAATTTAATTTCTAAACTGGCCGGTATTTACTGATTCCTATTCTCCTCGGTCCTATCGTACCTACACTTTAAACCGCATATGTAGTTTGCCTCCACCTCATAACACCTGCTTATTACCGTAAGACTTAAGAATATTACCTAATATTCCTTTCAATCGTATGTTAATTTAGCTTCCATGTATTCCGTCTCTTCCGTGTGCCTTTCATTTCAGTCTATCTCTATTCTGTTGAATCCTGGGATATCTTGTACATAATTACCATGTCTCTCCTGTTTTCTTTCTTCTACGGTTATTAGATTCAGTTCATTAAGCCTCTCCCAGATGAACCGCCTGTTTCTGAACCAGTCTAGAACGAGTGTGGGTGGGTGTGTCCATGTTGGTGTGGAGATGGTGCGTGTGTGGGGGGGTATATATATACAAGTATAATTTGCTCACAAAGTATCACACGAGTTGTAAGGGAGGTCAAGTCTTAGCTCTGGCTCCGTCTTTTAACCTAAATCAACCAGCGTGGATTCTAGCCCCTTTGTTCCAATTTATGTATGCTTTTCAAACTGTGCATACAATGTATATCCGTCGCATCTTGCAGTTATTTCCACGTTTTGCAACTCTAAGATCGAAGATGCACCGCCTAACATCCCTGGGCTCATCTTTGATTTTGGCTTCCACCTTAAGCTACCGTGTCCCCGTTCCTCTCATGTCGAACAATTTCTCAATATTTACTGTCAATACCTGGATATACTGCATGTCGTGATCATGTCTCCTCTGCCTCATTTCTCCAAGGTCTTGAAGCATGTAGATATTTGTGTAGGTGGGATGTTTAGAGGCACATGCTGGTACGTAGATGTATGAACCTGAACTTTGTATGACTGCCAATGTTTCCAGTTGTCTTTATGGCACATGGACACAATATAGCAAATTCTGGGATGGCCTCAGTGAAACAAGTTATCATTACCGCAGCTTAAGATAATCCAGTATTGTTAAAACAAGCATAATGTAAAGAGCTGCTCGAACTTCCGCAAGACACCACCCACGTGAAGTAAGAAAATCTGATTTTCACTTATCAGTTTGTGTAGGAAGAAATGTCAATGGTCTTAACCGGAGTGCGAGTACCATAACGTTTTAGCAAGTCAGTCTGTACGATAGTCTAATCAAATATTTCTTTCTAGTTTAAGAGGCCAGGTCTGATATCAGCCCGCGGGAACGATGCTCCCTGGAACCACTGATTATATATATATATATATATACAAACACTGATCTCTGGCTGAAGGAGACTCGAACCTACGAACCTTAGTGTGGGTAGATTGGTAAAGCACTGCGTACCTTGTCCTAAGGTTCGTAGGTTCGAGTCTCCTTCAGCCAGAGATCAGTGTTTGTGTATATTTCGCATGCTCTCGCGAATTCCTTGCATTGTTCAAATCTTAGTAAGGCTGATGCATGCAGGGGATGAGATGAAAAGCTGTAAGCCTTCTCCCTGAAAGCTGGCTGCTTGGATCAAACGTGTAGCTCATGCTACACGCCAAGGTATTGGTCAGTGTGGGTAGATTGGTTAAAGCACTGCGTACCTTGTCCTAAGGTTCGTAGGTTCGAGTCTCCTTCAGCCAGAGATCAGTGTTTGTGTATATTTCGCATGCTCTCGCGAATTCCTTGTATATATATATATATATATATTATATATATATTTTATATATATATATATATATATATTTATATATATATATATATAATGATTAGATAGTTATATTAGATCTTCTTCGGATGTCTATCAATCCTTCGACGGCAATGGAAATAAGTCACTCTGACTTTTTTGGATTATCCTCGGTTCTCTACACATATGCTGCTATGTATGATAATCTATGTAACTGTTTTGTGTATACCTGAATAAATTTATTTACTAATTTGAGATCAAGTTAGGCAGAGCCTTAAAACCCGCGACGGGTCTGGGCTGGGGTCATTTAGTGTCGTGGGAACTAAGGAAGAAATAGGGAACGTATTTTCAACGGTACACTTAAAATGTCAGAAACTGTTAAAACGATTAATCAGACGTGAACTCAACCTTATTTTAGGTATATACATTTAAAGTAATTGTAAGTTAGAATTATATACATCAGTGTACAACAAATATCCTTGCCAGGGCTTAGATAAAAACACAAATACAGTATAATGCGAGACTTTATTGACAACGTTTCGCCCACACTGGACTTTATCATGTCACAAACTGATCTGTTTGTTGCTTGATAAAGCCCACTGTCTGGGCGAAACGTTGCCAGTAGAGGACTGCATTATACTACATTTGTCTCTCAATCCATTGTGTCTGCATTTTATACCATTAACCTTCACATGAAATTTCAGTAGTAGACGACTCTGGAGGAGCCACAGGAACACTGTGAAGGTCGCCGCTCTGAACGCGCTTACTACACAACAAGTCATACTGTTAATTTTTAATAAAATTCCAATGATAGAACTAAGAATAAATCTACCTTAAATCTGAATGTTAATCATGAATGAAATAACTCTTATTGTCGGGCAGTGCTGTGTCATGTTGTGGGTAATGAAACCAATTTTGTATACCCTTGGCTAGAAGTGACTATTCCCCGTGGCCTGATAATAATAATAATAATAATAATAATATCGTTATTTACTACAAGTACATGTACAAGGTATACAGTCCTAGCTGACAACAATGACATACTACTATATAGAAACTCCCTTGTTATGCTCTGCATTTCGGGCAAATTAGGTCAGTGTCCCAGGATGCTACCCACACCAGTCGACTAACACCCAGGTACCCATTTTACTGATGGGGAACATAGACAACAGGTGGAAAGAAACACGTCCAATGTTTCTACTCTGGCTGGGAATCGAACCCAGACCCTCGCCGTGGGAAACGAGAGCGTTAACCACCAGGCCACCAGAGCACCCTGATAGGTAACACTCGTCTCATACACTGAGTGTCCGTGGCTCGATTCCCGGCAGTGGAGAAACATTGGGAGTGTTTCCTTACACCTGCTGTCCCCGTTCACCTAGCAGTAAGTAGGCATCTGGGTGTTAGCCTACTGGTGTTTGTCGCATCCCGGGGGACAAGATTGAAGGACCCCAATGGAAATAAGACAGTCATCGATAACGCACCGAATTTCTTGGGCTATACTGGGTGGCTAACCCTCCGGGTTAAAAAATCCGAACAAAAAAAATTATTTTATGCCCCAGTTCGTACTTACACCTACAAACCCAATGCTATTCTAGCTTACTCTAGAGTGGCAGACATTATTCTTGCACGATGCCAAAAACTAACATCTAACCTATTTCTACTAGTGTCCGCTAAGTTCCATGTATAAGTCACACTTGTCGGCGCCAACGAATTCTCCGTAAGACGTAATTTACCTTCTCAGAGTGCCATAATTCACTCTGAATTACAATACATGGAATTCAGTGCTATATTTCGTGTACTGAAGTGCTGAGTCACAAATACTTGTTAAGCTTTATTCAAGAAAAAATATGCATCATTTTAAGATATTTATAATTGAGTGAAACAATGATTTACCAACCGTTTACACACACACACACAACACACACACACACACACACACATAGGCTAGGACTCAGTGCCGATACCAACAAAGTACACAGAGATATACTGTATATCTCTCTATATACACCAACATTAACTTCCAGTGTTTGAGTGTTTGAGTTACGTGTAAAGGGAAAATAACAGTTGATATATGGGAGACAGGATCCACTCACTCAAAAATTATGTATCTAAAGTATTTTCAAAGCAACTCAATGTACTATATTTGCTGTAATAACACTGCTTGGAAGATGGAGATAAGAAACCTGTTCCATACGTGAAACGTCTCAATAAATTTCCACTCTGCAGTCATGTCATTTCACTACACTACTTGGAAGTTTGGTCTACTCATATACAACTATTCCCATACCAGAGCTTTCCTATATACTACTTTCTAAATTTAAATTTGTCCAAATCTGATATATTCTTTAGAGTTCTCTATTGGTAAAGATATTTTCAGCACCTTATTTAAATACCTGTTTTATTCCTGTGTTCTTTTCTACACTCCTGCCATATTCTCCTCCCCTTCTTCGGCTCTCATGGGAGTGTAAGTCCTCTATCAGGACTTAAAACATAGATCAGCGCTCCTGATCCACCTTTTAGTCCTGATAGAGGATTTTACTGTATTAGTGGCATACCTGGAGGTTACCTGGAGGTTATTCCGGGGATCAACGCCCCCGCGGCCCGGTCCACGACCAGGCCTCCCGATGGATCAGGGCCTGATCAACTAGGCTGTTACTGCTGGCCGCACGCAGTCCGACGTACGAGCCACAGCCCGGCTGATCCGGCACTGACTTTAGGTATCTGTCCAGCTCTCTCTTGAAGGCAGCCAGGGGTTTATTGGCAATTCCCCTAATGCTTGATGGGAGGCTGTTGAACAGTTTTGGGCCCCGGACACTTATGGTGTTTTCTCTTAGTGTACCAATGGCGCCCCTACTTTTTATTGGCGGCATTTTGCATCGCCTGCCCAGTCTTTTACTTTCGTAGGGAGTGATTTCTGTGTGCAGATTTGGGACCATTCCTTCCAAGATTTTCCAAAGAATCTCACATAGTGACATACAAGTTATCAGTACCACGTGGGCTAGTCCCAGACTTAGCCATAACATAACATCCTAACTGCACACTATAAATATTTGCTGCAGTAATGCGCGCGCGCACACACACACACGTCTGAAGACATAACGGTAACACGAAGACATTATGCAGCACGCTGCATCTTAGACCCAGTGCTACCTAATCTTCGACCCAG